CACTTACCCATCAGATCTTCAAAACACGTCCACAAGTTTGATTCAACTATCATATTTTTGATTCTAAGAGAGAATTTACCCAAACATCCCAGAAAGAAAATAGAAAGGCAAGAAGAAATAACAAACTACCTCAACAATGAATGATGTATGAACTCAGAAGGAGTGAATGGCTTATTTATAAATAAGCGTCACTCGTAAAACGACACAGGAAGCCCAGATGACAGCATAAACAAGAGACACTTGGGAAAGCCTTCACCCCAAGCCTGGCGCCCGCCCGACTGAAAAGCAAGCTCAACCCTCTGTTTGGGTGAGTTGTGAGCTCACACCAGTCTTTTGTGCGCCTGTGCGGTCCTCTGTGAGCCTCGGAGCTGTAAATATTTGCCCTTCGCCCAGAGCTGGCCAGCTGTGGAGACTGCAGCTGACAGACAGGCCAGAAGCCAGGAAGGGGGTGAAGGGTGGAAACTTGCAGGCCGGGTGTGCAGGCATGGAAGAAAGAGCAGGGGAGGGGGAGTGGGGAAAACGGAGCAGACACAGGTCCCCGGGGCCCCCTTGGGCAAATACGCTCCCTCTCTGCCAGGCCATCTGGAGCAGGCAGGCAGTGTGGCAGCAGCAGGGTCCACACCCCTTACCAGGAAGCAGGAGCACCCAGCTGTTGGAAATGTGGGGCACTCTTGCTCGCAGGCAAACCAGCGGTTCCCAAGTTGGGGGATGTCGTCCCTTAGAGGACACCTGATAATATCTGGAGACATGTTTTGGGGGTGCTGGGGTTTGAGAGGGACGTCTACCGGCATCGGGGAGGTTGCGGCCAGGAATACTGCTCAGTGTTCTACAGGGTACCTGCCGACAGAGGTTCCCAGAACACCACCCCAACAACCAAGAGCGGCCAAGCCCCCAAATGTCAACACACGCCTAGACTGAACCAAAGTCTGGTAAAAACCTGTCAGGGGAGGCAGAACCCGAATCCACTCCCTTCTCGTGAGTATCACTACTGGGGTCTGGACAGATGATATAATCCCCCACCCGCAACCCCCGTCAGTTCCCTCATCTGTAAGGGTTAGATGAAGCATAAAGTACCTCACCTCCCACTGTCGTTGGCCACTAACAGAGTAACTGGTACTGGCAGTTAGACTGAGACGCATCCCAAAGGTGCTTAATAACAGAGACTAGAGCCGTGGTTCTCAGCCTTCCTAGAGCTGTGACCCTTTGACCCTTTAATACACTCACGTTATGGTAACCACCAACCATAAAATTATCTCGTTGCGACTTCATAGCTGGGATTTTGCTACTGTTATAATTGTAATGTAAATACCTGAGAGGCAGGATATCTAATCTGCGACACCCCTCCCAACGAGGTCGCGACCCACAGGTTGAGAACCACTGGACTAGAGACACATGTCGTCAAAACCCACTTCTGAACTGTAAAGCCCTGACCGAAACATAAGATTGTCCCTCCAAGAAGCCTGAGTTTCTCCATCTACAAAAAGGCAAACATTGTACCTATGTTCCAGTAAGGGGGGAAAAAGAAGAAAGAAATGAAACGACTGGGAAGAGCTGAGGAGGGTAAACCCTCAGGAGCGGAGGCTGACATAATTACCCTGGTCAGCAGCGCAGAGAAATGGCACAGGAGTAGTTTAAGGTAATTGCGGGTACTCTCTGACGGGCACCGTGCCAGGCCATTTCCTTGATTCTCACCTTGATGGAAACAGCCTCCTTTTACATTAGAGGTAAACTGAGGCACCTGTGGAGGCTAAGCTGCAAGCGGGTTATCAAAAGGTGGAGATCTGAAATCAGTTCTAATTCCAGAGGACTGGCTCTTAATTATCACTTTCTAGTTATTGGAGCAAGGGAGTCCTTGGCTTCTTTCTGGATTGCCCAGATGAGTACTCCTAGGGTGCCTGTCTGCCTGTGTTTTCCTGCTTTAAACCTTTGGGAACCACAGTTTCCAACTCGAGAGGGGTTAAGCTGCTTGCTCAAGGTCAGCCAGTGAGTTGGCAGGAAAGCACACGCTTGAATCCAACCTTTACACTGGGGCCTCTCTCCTGGCATCCTTTTTAAGCTGCACCACAATGGCTCTGAGTTCCCGTCATTATTTTTGGAATCGCAGCAGATCCATGGATCCAGGTCACCATGCAATCTCACGTCCACAAGGACCATGCATGGCTCTGATCTTAAGACAGGCTGAGCAGCTTCCCCAGGATCACCAGGCCAGCCTGCACTCTGTGGCACTCTGGAGCCACACTTCCCCACACTGGGCTGTGGGTTCCTTTTGGTGTTTGCAGACACTTTCCAGAGGCTCCCTCAACCCCTCAAAACTGCTATAGCTCCACCTCGCCCTACATGTCCTGCCTGCTGGGATCATACTTTCTCAGGTCAGATAAGTAACTCCTCGCGGAGTGATGCAGCTGGCAGGCACAGCCAACAAGGAGGTGTCAGAGATGCACCCAGGAAGACCCTGGCACCCCTATGCTCAAAGGACCGGGGTCCGGGATCAACTAAGGCGCCCGATCAGGCGGGAGGCCACAGGGAGTGCTTGCCTACCTTGCCGCCGGGCGGCGCGGCCACGCAGCGGCTGAGCGAGTCGAGGCGCGCGCTGTACTCGGTGAACTTCTTCTGGTAGCGCAGCGCGGTCATCTGCAGTTCGAGCTGCGCGGCGGCCAGCTGCGCCACCAGCGACTTCTCGCGCTTGCCGGCCCGCAGCGCCTCCTTCTTGAGCGCCTTGTGCAGCGCGCCCAGGCGGGCCTGCAGCGCGCCGTTGTGAGCCCGCAGAGCCCCCGCGCAGCAGTGGCCGCCCGCGCGCTGCTCGCCGTGCGTCAGCGGCAGCCCGCAGCCCTCCTGGCAGCGGCCCACGGGCCGCGCGTCGCACGCGTCGCGCATGTGGGCCTCCACGTCGCGTCGCAGCAGCAGCTGGCCGCAGCCCGCGTGGCGGCAGCGCGCGGGCGCGAAGTCGCAGCGCTCCAGGTGCTCGGGCAGCTCCTGCAACTTGACCACCCGGCCGCAGCCCCGCGCCGCGTGCGCGCACTTGATGTCCAACTTGAGGATGAGGCGCTTAAGCGGCAGGACGTGGTTGAGCTCCTTGGCCGAGAGGCGACCGCGACAACGCGCGGGGCAGCTGCCCTCCTGTACGACCCAGGGCAGCACGCAGCCGGCGCAGAAGACGTGGCCGCACGGGGTGGTCAGCGGGTCCTCCAGGACCTTGTGACACAGCGCGCACTTCAGATCGGGGTCCACGTCTCCGTCGAAGCGGTCCAACTCGAAACCCATGGTGGCGGCCGGGGCCCGGTGTCGTCGCCGGGCGACCGGCCGCCTCCCCCTCCCTCCCTGCGAGGCGGCCCAGACACGCCGGCTACGCCGCCCGCTCTCCAGCTAGCTCTCCCAGGACTGAGCCTAATTGCTCCAGACTTCCTCGGAAAATGCCCGAGGAACAGGACTCCTCCGGCCGTATTGGCTCGAGCGCGAGCGCACTCACATCCTGCCTCAGCGGCTTTGCGACCCTCCTTCTGCCAAAGGGAGGGGGCCGCGAGGCCGAAGAGGCTGAGGAGATCACAAAGCAAGGAGACTTGCCAGGAACGCGAGATGGACCCCCTCTAAAGGGGGTCTCCTCTCCGCTCTCTTGGAGGCTTCGCTAAAATGACAAAATACGACAGCAGAGAGCATCTCTCTGGGTTTGGAGCTGCATCTGTGGCTTTCGCACCGAGAAGTTTCCTGCAACCCATCAGAACTTTTCACTCCTCACCTCCTCCTTTCTCTTGTGTCTGCTTTTAAGAGCGAAAAATATCCAAGACCCCGCTATCCCTGTATTTACGGTCTTTATTTATTTATTTCTCTAGGGGGAAAGTTACAGCCGCTGCAGGACGCTCCTGCTGAAACTTTGGTCGCTACCAGAGGATCTGCGAACTGCAGAGTTTATCAGCCGGAGGTTTCTAGGACCAGAGGGCGAAACTTCAGGAATTAGACCTCCCCTCCAGCTGTCTGGGTGGGACAGGCCAGAGTAGTTGGCTGGGTCCACTTCTCTTAACACCTCTGAAAAGAGGGCACTACAGTATGGCATGCGTTTTGCTGGGAGCTTCTAAATCAGTCCCTTTAAAAACCAGCGAGGCAGTGTTGTGAGAGCGCACATTAGCTCCACTTGAAAACTATTTGCCCCGATTACGAAAGCCTTGACTCTGGCGGTAGGAGAGCTGGGGGAGCTTAGAACTCTGAGTCCCTGTAACAACGCCCACCCAGCCATTTCGGCAACAACTACATCCCTCGGCTTGTTTTTGTTGTTTGGTTTTTCTTAAGTGTACTTTTTTTTTTTTTTTTTTAATCCCCCCC